AGTGCTTTGTCTGTAGTGTCATTTGCAGATATCTTCTCCCATTATGTGGGTTGCCTCTTTGTTTTGTTGACTGTTTCCTTTGCTGTGCAGAAGCTTTTTATCTTGAAGTCCCAAAAGTTCATTTTTGCTTTTGTTTCACTAGCCTTTGGAGATGTATCTTGAAAGAAGTTGCTGTGGCTGATGTCGAAGAGGTTACTGCTTATGTTCTCCTCTAAGATTTTGATGGATTCCTGTCTCACATTGAGGTCTTTCATCCATTTTGAGTTTATCTTTGTGTATGGTGTTAAAGAATGGTTGAGTTTCATTCTTCTGTATATAGCTGTCCAATTTTCCCAGCACCATTTATTGAAGAGACTGTTTTTATTCCATTCCATCTTTTTTCCTGCTTTGTTGAAGATTATTTGACCATAGAGTTGAGGGTCCATATCTGGGCACTCTATTCTGTTCCGTTGGTCTATATGTCTGTTTTTGTGCCAGTACCATGCTGTCTTGGTGATCACTGCTTTGTAATATAGCTTGAAATCAGGCAACATGATGCCCCCAGCTTTGTTTTTCTTTTTCAACATTTCCTTGGCAATTTGGGGTCTTTTCTGATTCCATACAAATTTTAGGATTGTTTGTTCCAGCACTTTGAAAAATGTCATTGGAACTTTGATTGGGGTGGCATTGAAGGTATAGATTGCTCTGAGTAGCATAGACATTTTAACAATGTTTATTCTTCTGATCCATGAGCATGGAATGTTTTTCCATCTTTTTGTGTCTTCTTCAATTTCTTTCATGAGTGTTATGTAGTTCCTAGAGTATAGATCCTTTACCTCTTTGGTTAGGTTTATTCCGAGGTATCTTATGGTTTTTGGTGCTATTGTAAATGGAATCATTTCTCTAATTTTTCTACAGTTGCAATGTTAGTATATAAGAAAGCAACTGATTTCTGTGCATTGATTTTGTATCCTGCCACATTACTGAATTGCTGTATGAGTTCTAGTAATTTGGGGGTGGAGTCTTTTGGATTTTCCACATAAAGTATCATGTCATCTGCGAAGAGAGAGAGTTTGACTTCTTCTTTGCCAATTTGAATACCTTTTCTTTCTTTTTGTTGTCTGATTGCTATTGCCAGGACTTCTAGTACTATGTTGAACAATAGTGGCAAGAGTGGGCATCCTTGACGTGTTCCTGATCTTAAGAGAAAGGCTCTCATTTTTTTCCCCATTGAGGATGATATTCGCTGTGGGTTTTTCATAGATGGATTTTATAAACTTGAGGAATGTTCCCTCTATCCCTATACTCTGAAGAGTTTTAATTAGGAAAGGATGCTATATTTTGTCAAATGCTTTTTCTGCATCAACTGAGAGGACCATATGGTTCTTCTCTCTCCCCTTATTAATGTGTTCTATCACACTGATTGATTTGCAAATGTCGAACCACCCCTGCATCCCAGGGATAAATCCCACTTGGTCGTGGTGGATGATCCTTTTGATGTATTGTTGGATCCTATTAGCTAGCATTTTGTTGAGAATTTTGGAATCCATATTCATCAGGGATATTGGTCTAAAATTCTCCTTTTTGATGGGGTCTTTGCCTGGTTTGGGGATTAAGGTAATTCTGGCCTCATAGAATGAGTCTGGAAGCTTTCCTTCTCTTTCTATATTTTGAAACAGCTTCAGGAGAATAGATATTATTTCTTCTTTGAATGTTTGGTAGAATTCCCCAGGGAATCCATCAGGCCCTGGACTCTTTGTTTTTTGGGAGGTTTGTGATCACTGCTTCAATCTCGTTACTGATTATTGGCTTATTCAGGTTGTCAATTTCTTCCTGTTTCAGTCTTGGCAGTTTACAGGTTTCCAGGAAGGCATCCATTCTTCCAGGTTGCTTAATTTATCAGCATATAGTTGTTGATAATAATTTCTAATAATCGTTTCTATTTCCTTGGTGTTAGTGGTGATCTCTCCCCTTTCATTCATAATTTTATTAATTTGGGTCCTTTCTCTTTTCTTTTGGATAAGTCTGGCCAGTGGTTATCAATCTTATTAATTCTTTCAAAGAACCAGCTTCTAGTTTCGTTGATCTGATCTACTGTGTTTCTGGTTTCTAATTCATTGATCTCTGCTCTAATCTTAATTATTTCTCTTCTAATGCGTGGCTTGGGCATCATTTTGTTGCTTTTTCTCTAGTTCTTTAAGGTGTAAAGTTAGTTGGTGAATTTGGGATTTTTCTATTTTTTGAGTAAGGCTTGGATGGCTATGTATTACCCCCTTAGGACTGCCTTTGCAGTATCCCATAGGTTTTGGACCAATGTATTTTCATTCTCATTGGTTTCCATGAATTGTTTAATTTCTTCTTTGATTTCTTGGTTGACCCAAACATTATTGAGCAGAGTAGTCTTTAGCTTCCAAGTGTTTGAATTTCTCCCAAATTTTCTGTTGTGATTGAGGTCCAGTTTTAAAGCATTATGGTCTGAGAATATGCAGGGAATAATCTCAATCTTTTGGTATCAGTTGAGACCTGATTTGTGACCTACTATGTGGTCAATTCTGGAGAAAATTCCGTGTGCACTCGAGAAGAATGAGTATTCTGTTGTTTTACGGTAGAATGTTCTGTATATATCTATGAGGTCCATCTGGTCCAGTGTGTCATTCAAAGCTCTTGTTTCTTTGTTGATTTTCTGCTTAGATGATCTGTCTATTGCTGAGAGTGGAGTATTGAGGTCTCCTACAATTAACGTATTGTTATCAATATGGCTCTTTATTTTGGTTAACAGTTGGCTTATGTAGATGGCTGCTCCCATGTTGGGGGCATAGATATTTACAATTGTTAGATCTTCTTGTTGGATAAACCCTTTAAGAATGATATAGTGTCCTTCTGTGTCTCTAACTACAGTCTTTAGCTTAAAATCTAATTTGTCTGATATAAGAATTGCTACCCCAGCTTTCTTCTGAGGTCCGTTGGCATGGGAAGATGGATCTCCATCCCTTCACTTTAAGTCTGGATGTATCTTTAGGTTCAAAATGAGTGTCTTGTAGACAGCATATGGATGGGTCCTATCTTTTTATCCAATCTGCAACCCTGTGCCGTTTTATGGGAGCATTTAGGCCGTTCACGTGGAGAGTGATTATTGAAAGATATGAATTTATTGTCATCATGTTGCCTGTGAAGACCTTGTTTCTATAGATTGTCTGTAAATTTCTGTTGTATATCATTCTTGGGGTCTTTCTCCTTTTATAGAACCCCCCTTAATATTTCTTGCAGGGCTGGCTTAGTGGTCACATATTCATTCAGTTTCTGCCGGTCTTGGAAGCTCTGCATCTCTCCATCCATTCTAAATGACAGCCTTGCCAGATAAAGTATTCTTGGCCACATGTTCTTCTCGTTTAGTACCCTGAATATGTCTTTCCAGCCCTTTCTGGCTTGCCAGGTCTCTGTGGATAGGTCTGACGTTATTCTGATGTTCCTCCCTCTGTATGTAAGGAATCTCTTCCCCCTAACTGCCCTTAAGATGGTTTCCTTGGTTCTAAGATTTGCAAGTTTTACTATTACATGCCAGGGCACTGGCCTGTTTTCCTTGATCTTGGGAGGGGTCCTCTCTGCCTCTAGGACAGGAATGTTTGTTTCATTCCCCAGATTAGGGAAGTTCTCAGCTATGATTTACTCAAATATATCTTCTAGTCCTCTCTCTCTCTCCACCCCCTCAGGGATCCCAATAATTCTGCCTTTGGAACGTTTCATGGTGTCACTTATTTCTCTGATTCTATTTTCATGGATTTTGATTTGTTTTTCCTGGCCTTCTCTTTTTCCTTCTTTTCTATCAATTGGTCTTCTAGATCACTAATTCATTCTTCTGCCTCGCTTACCCTAGCTGTTAGATTATCTAGATTAGATTGGATCTCATTGATAGCATTTTTAAATTCTGCCAGTTCAGCTTTCATTTCTCTCCTTAGAGACTCTATGTTGCCATTAATCGATTTCTCCATTCTAGCTATTGTCTTCACAACTGCTACCCTGAATTCCATTTCCGACATCTTGGTTATATCTGTATCCATTTGTAAATCTGTGGCAGAAGTCACAGTCTCTAAGTCTTTCCTATTTTGGGGGTTCCTCGTCCTAGACATTCTGTTGAGGGATGGTTGAGGGAGTGTACAGAGTCCAAATTATTGACCACAACCCAAGCAAGATGCACCTGTTTTATAGGGACCTTAGGGTTGTTGGCCTCTTGTTTTCCCAGCCTGTCTTCTGGGGGAGAGGCCTACCACACTGTTACTCAGGCAACCCTGTTTGGACAGAGTTGCCCTGCCCCCTGTGGTGGGGGATGGGCTCAGTGAAAACAGGATTTTGGGGGCTTTTGTTCTCTGGCAGCTCTTCCTGGCGGCTTTCCATGTCTCTTCCGAGAGTTAGAGCAGAGGAGATCATTTCCAACCACCTGCCTAAGAGCGGAGAGATCGCAGTCTGTTCTTCAGTGAGCTCTCCAGGCCACACTATCTCTGTTTCTGTCTGTGGTGCTATAAACTGCAGCATTCTGGGTTGTGTGCCCCTCAGCAGCGCTCCCAGTCCTCACCTCCAGGTCGGGGCACATCTCTGCCCTTTGTGCTTCTAAAACCACCAGCCGCCCCCAGTTTGCACATGCGGCCCAGCCGCTCTGCGTTTCAGTCCGGGGGGGCTGCCCTAAAGTCCTTTCCCGGCCACTACCAGTCTGTGAGTCTGTGCCCTGTCCCCAGTAGGGGAGGCTATCACTCACCAGTGGTGTAGGATCACCACAGCTCCCTCCCCCTGTTGTTTATCTTCCCATATGTGCCTGCGGAATCAGAGCTCCCCACTTCGTACCTCGAAACCAACCACCTGCAATATTCTGTTTGTAGAGATCCAGATCCATCTTCTTACATCTCAGGCTGATTTTGTGGGTGTTCCGAGTGGTCTGGTAGATATCCAGCTCAGTTCTGGGGACTGGTCGGAATAGGGTCCTCTACTCCTCCGCCATCTTTTCCTCCTCCCACCCTTTCATTTCTTACCTTGTTCCATTTTCTCTATCGTAGCAACTCAGGGTTCTCCCTGGGAGCTGTGACAGGGGTCTGAAGAGGCGGGCGGTCAGCATGGCGGCCACAAGAGGTAGAATGGTGGGCCTCCTCCTGGTGGGTTCTGAAACACAAAATGCACCCTCAGTGTTGCCTTGTTGCCTCCATGGGTGTACCCTTCAGGGGCTGAGGCAGGAGTGGCCATTTTCGCTCCAGGTTGTAAGAGTCCAACTGGGCTCTGTCTGTCTGGCCCAGGTCTGGTCATGGTACCAGGCAGGGTCTTCCTACACCTCCCTTATCAAGCTGCAGCCTCATCTGATGGAAAGAGTTGGGAGCTGTGTTCTAGTTCTGGCTGTGCCACCAACTCCTTGGGCAACCGTGGCGTGCTGTCACCCATCTGTAACATGAGAAGGTGGGACCAGACTGGTGATCCTACAACCAAGTGAAGTAGCAACCACAGGGGGCAGTTGGGGACGCATCCCCTCAGGGATTCCAACTCATGGGGCTCCATTCTCTTGTCTGTATTCCCCATAACCAGCAGATCATCAATCTGTGGTGACCCAGGGCATCAGCCTGCATGCTGTTTGGCCACATGCCTCCAAGGCAGCTCTTCCAACCCATGGCAAATCACTGGGCTCAACCTTCCACCTCTCTCCCACACCCCACCACACACAGGGTCTGGCTCAGAGGCTCAACTCATCAGTAGCTCTGGTGCATGGAGACTGGAGCTAGAAGGTGAGCCACATGTTCATCAGCCTAAATTAAAACACATATAAACACACACACAGAGTCTCTCCCACTCCCTACCCCCCTCTTTTGAAGTCAAATCAATCTTATTGCAACAAGGCCATGTACCACGTGGTGTCACCTTAAGGCTACTCAGCATCAGGACTAGTTGTGTATGACTGACTGTTGATTGCTGTGTGCATTAGTTTTGGCCCAGGGGCAGGAAGGGGAGGCTAGGAGGAGCTGAGCAAGGCAACCACAGCCTGACGAGCTGTTGCTCTTTTCCTGGTGAACCATCCTAGCCTCTCGTTTGCACACCTGCCTGTGCTTTGTTATACCATTGTTATCAGGAATGAGGTTGTGCCTGGGAGGCAGCTCTTTCCTGCCCTTGTGCTGCCACCCAAACCTAACTGATGACCAGCCACCCGGGCCACTAGGTCTGGAATCAATTCATTATCTAGCCAACCACTGCATGGTTCACTGTGGGCAGCAAGTGGAGGTATTTAATCTGTTTAATCCTCAAGAAAGGAAAACAAATAGGGATCCCTTGGCTTGTGTGATCTTTCCCTGACTACGCGCAGCAGGCTCTTGCTTCCCCTCCTGTCCCTACTCACCACACTATTCCCAGCACTGTAGCCAGAAAGATCTTTATAATACCAGTCAAGTGGGGCACATGGGTGGCTCAGTCAGTTAAATGTCAGCTCAGGTCATGATCTCAGGGTCCTGGAATTGAGCCTCGCATTGGGCTCCCTGCTCAGCGGGGAGTCTGCTTGTCCCTCCCCCTGCTCATGCTCTCTCTCTAATAAATAAAATCTTTAAAAAAAAAACACCAGTCAAGTTATGTGACTCCTTTGCCTAAAAGGCTCCTCTCCATGCCTGTTGGGTGTGGGCCTCTGCCTCCCTTCCCAACCTTGTCTGGTACCACCCTCCCCTCTGCTCACTGCTCTATGGCCACATTAACCTTCTAAAAGCTTCTTGTGTGTGTGCCAAGCTCTTTCCTGCTTCTGTGCCCCCTCCCCCCACCCCCCAGCCTTTGCTCTTCCCTCACTCTAGGTGGCTGAGTCCTTCTGACTCTTTGGACTTCAAGGGGGCTGTCCAGATCCCCCATGCAACACACAGAGGTTGCTCTCTGTAAGATCACTCTTCAATCCAAAACCACGGTGTTTCTTTACTTTATCCTCCCCTTTTGGATCACAAGCTCAGTGGGGCCAGGAGCCTTGTCCGTCTTGTTCACCACTGAATCCCTCATGCCTAGAAGAAGCCTGACACAAAGGAGGCGTTCAGTGAGTCTCTGTGAGTGGGGATGAGCTGCGTGTAGAAAGTCAGCCTGCGGCCAACACTGAAGTTGCCATAGCAAGCCCTTGGCAGGCAACAGCAGAATGGAGCCCACACTGGCCCTTCAGAGAAAGCACAAGCCCACGTGGCTCAGAGTCTTCATGGGGGGTGCCCACCCGCCCCCAGCCCCCAACCTAGCTGCTGAGCTGGCAGAACACACGCCTCTCTGCCTCTCCTGTCGGGACTAGAGTCTGAGGTCACTGCCACTGGCCGACTCCTAATCCAGTAGTCTATAATTAAAGCCCTTCCTCCCTTCTGCTCAGTGTCTGTGGCAGAGACCACGTCAATGTTATCTCCACACAGAGGGCTGCTTTCAATTTTATTTTCCCTCAAGTCAGCAATATCGGAAAGCGCTGGAGTAAAAATAGCTTAAAGTACATGAAAACTCGGCCCTTTGAACAACGCACTATTTGTGATGTCATCTCTTACACACAGAATGGGAGGATTTTAGATCTCTTCTTCCTTTTTAAGTTTCTAAAACATGTTGCTTTTGCCACTGCAAACACAGTGCTATAGGCCGTGGGATTCCCATGCAGTCTTCGGGGATGTTTGCCATCTTAGAAGGCAGCTATGCTCGCCACCATACGCCCAGCGCTGCACTGTTTGCCATCTTAATGCCTAGTGCTGGGCTTTCTTCTCTGTAAATATGAAGTTCTCAAACTTGAAAAGCCCTCACTTGCCTTTTGGTTTGGAAACGGAGATGGCTGTGAGAGGTGGACGCTGCAAGAAGGCGGAGCATCTTTGGTGGGGGGGGCAGTCTCCTGGGCCTTGAACTCAGTCAGCTGCCCCACGGTAACTTGGCACAGAGGACTTGACATCCAGGGACCAAATTTGTAAGATACTGTCACGAAATCAAGATGCTCACATGCCAATCTGGAATCTGGGAGGAACTTTTCTTTTCCGCTCTTTTCTTTTCTTTTTAAAGATTTTTTTTTTTTATTTGAGAGAGAGAGCACAAGCAGGGGGAGCAGCAGAGGGAGAGGGAGAAGCAGGCTCCCCGCTGAGCAGAGAGCCAGACACGGGGCTCGATCCCAGGACCCCAGGATCATGACCTGAGCTGAAGGCAGATGCTTAACTGACTGAGCCACCAGGTGCCCCAAGGGAGAAACTTTTCTAACATTAAGAACACCTGGGCCTATTCTCGAGGACGCCTCTTTCCATTTTGAATGTGTCACCCACGCATAACCTGTGGAATGTACCTTCTTTCCAAAAAAACAGTGTGTGCATCCTCGCCCCAGTGTTGGGCTCCCTTGTGGCATGCTGACAGGACTATCTCGCAGAGGACGTAGCTGGTTGCATTCCTGTGGGTTAGGATCAGGGTCTCTCTTGCAAGGGACAGACATTCCCCATACTGAAATCCTTGTAAAAAGCAAGGCCACCAGCAGGCAACAGGAACACAGGAGGCAGGCCTTAGGCAGGAAAGAGAAAGTATGTGTTTCTAGCCACAAAGTCTGGATGAGCCTGGGCACTACCACGTGGGAAAGGAAGGACCTATCCGACTGAGGGCAGGATGGGTTTAGGCAGGAAATGTTCCTGTGTAGGGACCCCACACTGAGGAGCTTAAGACCAGTGAGCTTCTGTGTGAGATTCGAAGTTCTGAGAATTGGTAGCCTGCCTCCAATGTGTTCTACCTGGCTGCTTCTGTTTGGCCAGCCTAGTGTTTTAAAAGGCATTGTAGGGGTGCCTGGGTGGCTCAGTTGGTTAAGCGACTGCCTTCGGCTCAGGTCATGATCCTGGAGTCCCTGGATGGAGTCCCGCATCAGGCTCCCTGCTCAGCAGAGAGTCTGCTTCTCCCTCTGACCCTCCCCACTCTCGTGCTCTATCTCATTCTCTCTTTCAAATAAATAAATAAAATCTTAAAAACAAAACAAAACAAAACAAAAAACGAAGAGAGATAGGGGATCTCTCCTGAAAAGGAGTAGGGACTGTGATTACATTCTAGCTGAGGAACTGATATTAGTGATGGGGTGAGTGAATTGGAGGGTTAACAATAAGCAATATATCTAGAGCCCTCTGATACCATTTTTGTCTAAGCCATCTTCACTTCTTGCCTGGAATTATTGCAATCGCCACCCAACTTGGCTCCCTGCTTCTACCCTTGCCCCCTTCAGACACTGCTCAACACGGGCTTGCATGATCCTGTGAAATATAACTCAGATCATCTCACTCCTGCACCAAACTCTTGCTTACAGTAAAAGCCAAAATCACTACAGATTGCCCCCCAGACCCTCCACGATCTGGGTCCTCATCCCTCCCCCACCTTCACTGCACCTTGGTTACAATAGCCTTCTTGCTATACTTAGAATATGACAAGTAAGCACCTGCTTCAGAAACTTTGCCCTTACTTTTCCCTCTGCTTAGAACATTCTTCCCCCTCACTATCCACAGGGCTCCTTCTCTCACTTCAGTCTTTTACTCAAATGTTTCCTCACTAAGACTTTCCCTGGCTACCCCATCAATCCCACCCCCACCCTGGCATTTTCTATTCCCCCTTCCCTGCTTCCATTTTCCCCCCTCCTTGACTTACTACATTATATCATTATACACATTGTACTTATTTCTCTTATTTGTTATCTTTCAGTCCCATTAGAATGTAAACTCTGAGAGCAGGGGGTTTTGTCTGCTTTGGTCACTGTCATACCCCCAATACTTAACAGTGCCTTCTACCTAGTAGGCACATAATATGTGAATTACTTAAGGGGGTTTTCAGCAGAGGAATACTATGATCAGACTTTTTATTTATTGATTTATTTTTAAAGAGTTAATTTATTTGAGAGAGAGAGAGCATGAGAGGGGGGAGCGTCAGAGGGAGAAGCAGACTCCTTGCTGAGCAGGTAGCCCGATACAGGACTCGATCCTGGGACTCCAGGGTCATGACCTGAGCCAAAGGCAGTGGCTTAACCAACTGGGCCACCCAGGCACCCCAATCAGACTTATATTTAATACAATAAGTCTCACTGGCTTAAGGATAAATTGAGGATGAACAAAAGCAGAAGCAGGGAGACCATTTATATGCTGGGGCAGTAACCCAGGGAAACAATTTATAGCCATGAAGTGCACAACTCCAGTGAAATGTGAAAAGGTACTCTCTGGAGATATACAGAAGGGCTGCCAGACCTGGTGGAAACTATGAAGGTAACTAGAAGTGGTTACCTTTTGAAGGTAGAGCCCCATATGGCTCTTTTGAAGGTAGAGCCCCATATGATTTAACTGACAAATTTAATGGAGAATGTGCAAGAATGAAAAATCAAAGATACTTCCAAGATTTTGGGTGCAGATGTAAAAAATAATAATAATAATATCAGCACAACTGACAAATTAAAGAGCCATTCTACTCATAAGTGCTTACCACATTTCAAATCGGGGTATACAAGCCGGGCCTCACTTGGCCCCTCCAAATCACTACACTTTTCTCATCTACTCATTACCACTTACTACCCCATCGCTCAACGAGCCCTGTACTCTCCAATTTCCATGTCTTGCTCATCCCATCCCACATGTGACTTGTTCATATGACCAAGTCCTGATTCAAAGAACACTCCTCCAAGATGCCTTTCCTGATGCCCCAACTTTAAAAAAAAAATCAATCTCTCGCCGACACTTCCATTCCATCCCTTCCTTCTGTGCCTCTGTAACAGCACTTAGAACAGCACTTACCTAAGCAAGCAATACTAGATAGAGGTAGCATTCACAGCCCCTATCCACCAATTCCCACCTGGTCTGTGCGCTCCGCACAGATAGGATCCACATGTTATATCACTGACTTCCGCCTCCTCCAAAATATCTACACTGGTGTCCGACAGGAAACAGACACTATACGCATGTGTATGGAGAGAGTACGAAAGCTACACCCATTCCAAAGGTCAGCTTCCACGCTGGCCAGGGGTGCATATAAACCCGTGCACGGCCGGGCTCCAAAGCTCAGGTAGAAATTAGGACAAATGCTGCGTCCTGAAGGATCCCGGCGGCAGGAGGCCTGCGGGCAGCCCTCCGCAATGAAACACGTGCCTCTGCATACTACCCCCAAGCAGGGCTAGCCCATGACGCCGCATCAGCTGACTCGAGGCCGATTTTGGCCGACTGGCTGGAAAAAAACCCCGCAGGGTTCAAGGACGCGAGCAGAGCTCAAGAACGCCAGCAGAGCTCAAGGACGCGAGCAGCGCCAAACCCTCCCCAAAGCGGCTGCGGGCGGACAGCCAAGAAGACACCTTCTCTCGCCCGCTCAGGGACTCGAGCGGAACGGGGGCGGCCGGAGAGGCGCTCGCGCCACCTCGCTCCACACCGCGCGGAAGGCCGCGCAGCCAATGGCAGGGCCGCAGGGCCGCAGTTCCTTCCGGCCGACGGGAGGCGGGAGCCAAGGGGCTCGGCTCGAGCCGCGCTCCCATTGGCTGGGACGGAACCGCCCAGACAAAGCCGCGCGTGCCCGGGCGTAACACCGCCTCAGCATCCCCACGCTGCCCCCGCGGCGCCTCCACCGTGCTCCCACCCCCCACCCCGCACCCCCCGTCCCCGTCCGGCTGCCTGTCCGGTCCTCCGGCAGCCGCAGGCTCAGCTCGTGCTCCAGGCGGCCGAACCGGCAGCCTAACCACTGTCTACCATCCTGCCCAGGGCGCCGCGGGCGGGGAGGAGCATTCCCCAAGTCCTGAGAACAGGGCTTCGTGAAGGACGCAATGTGGGGCAGGAGGAGGGAGATGCGGTGAAGGGGCGGGTCGAGCCTGGGGCTGGAACGACCGGCTTCGGTACTGGTTCGGCTTCCGACTATGAAATGACCTTGGGCCGCTTCCTTCCCTACTGGGGGCCGGGGTGGTCTTTTGTAAAATGCGCAGGCAGGGAAGGATGAGTGCCGTGGGTTTCCCCTGGGCGCCTCGGGGCTGCGTGTTCAACCTGGGCCTCCTCCTGCTGAGCACATTATGCCTAATAAACGCCAGGCGGGCTCCCAGAGCGCGGACAGAAGGCCCAGGAAGGCGGTGGGTGAGGGCCACCTGGGACCGACACAGATCTGGACAGGATCCGTCCATCTTCCCACCCTTACCCCGACCGCAGCTGCAGGGCCAGACCTATAGGAATCTGTGCCCCATCCGCATCCTGGAGACTCGGCCAAGGGGTCGCGCAAGGCCAAACCAAACTGAGCAGGGGGCGTCGGCGCATCCCTCCTGAGCTGCCGAGATACGGACCCCTCCTCTTACCCCAAACCAAATGGGTGGAGGGGCTCCGGCTGCGGAGGGCCCAGCTGGTGCGTTCCCCTGAGACCGACGCTTCGCCGATACCCGCGCTCCGGGCTTGGACGACCGAGGGGGGCGCTGCAGCCGTTTCCTTCTCGAAGCCCCTCTACACGCTCCCACTAGGGCGGCTTCCTCCTTCGGCTACCGGATGCGGCCGAGCCTAGACAAGGTGGGTGCATGCTGTCTGGCGGCGCGGGGCGGGGCGGGGCGGACCAAGGGTGTCGCAGGGGCGGGGAGTGCTCCTGCGCTTTCTCCTTCCTCCTCCCGCGTCTCTCCTGGCCCTCGTCCCGCAGAGGGTACCCCCAATCTAGCTCCCAGCCCGAGATTAACCCCTTGCCGGGCGCTGATCTCCACCGCCAGGCGCGTTCTGGAGAGGCTGGGGCTCTCGGGCTGGAAGCAGCAGGTGCCGCACCAGGCACTGAGGGAACCTGGTGTGGAATGAGGCTCCTTCCAGCTTCTGTGCGTGTTTGCTGACGTTAGAACTCATCGGAGTTGGTTGGGTGGTTTTTATATTTGTCTTTAGATCGGATGGAATGCATTTAAAGAATTACTCCTATGAATCTTTTAAAAAAGTAATTTAAGAATGGCACAGCTCCCAGAGTTTTAAAAATAGAACGTCAGGGGCCAATTGGCCACAGATCAGGATGACCAAGCCAACTTTCTGCGATGAAAAACCGCCTGAGCAGAGAAGGAAACTATCCACAAATTAGTGACAGGAGCTATGTTTCCGTCAAATTACAGAAGCGCTGATTGGAAAGGGGCTATGCTATGCAGATGAAAACGGGAGGGAAGTGCTTGCCTGGTAGGGCTTTAAAAGAAACCTGTCAGCTCCGTTCCACGAGCTTCTTGAGAGTTACTGTTTCTTCTTTATCCCCAGCTCCTGACACATAGAGTCTTGAAGAATGGGAGGATCAAAAGGCAGGATGCACTTGATTCTCCGTACCCATTTTACAAACTCAAGCCTCGTACTTTCTTCGGTGTTTTGTTTCAGAATACTCACTCTGTACGCCATGCCACAGCCATAACATAAATCGTTACATAGGGTTGCTGGTTACACTTTGAGGGTTATGCATTGCTAGAAAAGCATTTAATTAAAGGAAGAATTCCTGTTTCCACCTAGCAAAACCAGAGATCCTGACTTTGGACTGAGAATTAAATGGAAACGTAGTTCTATTTATGGAAGGCAGGGAAAGGACATTGCACCTGAAGTTATATCAGACTGCACCTGTGGCTGGCCTCACAGCTTCCCAGCCCATCTTTTTATTCCAGCTTTGCTGTGGCAAACGACTGCATACAGGTGTTACCTGAGAGCACCTTGCCTTGGCTGCACCTGTTGTCTTCTTGCCTCTGGTCTTCACTGTCACAGCAGCCAGGGACAATCCCTCCCCAGTCTGACACCTGCAAATGCAAAAGAACTAACGCTTCTTGGGACAAGCTTTGAGCTGGTGGAGAAATACTCCCCTCTTCCATTCTTCCGGTGGGCAGTTCTGAGGAGCATTCTGTGTAACTAAGAGGATAGAGCCCCAGTTGCCCACGGTGATGCCCAACTTTATCAGTTCAGTACTGCACCCTTGGCTTGCTTTTCTCTGTTCTTCCTTGCTTGCCTGATCTTCCCACCCCTCCACTCCTGTTCCTTGGGATTTGTTCCCAAAATAAACTACCTGTACCGAAATTCTTGCTCAGAGTGTTTTTCCCGGGAACCCAGACTAAGCCAGTCATTAAACCAAAAGAGGCATCTCTGCCCACCTTTCAGGGTCATTCTCAGCAGACCTTTCCCAAGTCTGCTAACAAGGAATCAATTTGTTCAGCCTGAGCTTTTGCTCCTTTTATCTCCCAGTTGCCCTGCCCTCTAGGGCATCACCAGTAAGCTCTCAGAGACAGGCAGGACGCATGGGGACTCCCAAGAGATAGGGCCAGCTGAAGGCCTGGGTCTAAATGAGTCTGACAAAGTCATTCTCAGAACCCCTTAAATTTCTCCCCTGTTTCCGAGGTCCTGGCTGCTGACTTTGAAACTAGAGAAACTCTCAGCTCTGGGTTTGAACATGGAAGTGGAGCTGATGTGGGACCCAATTCACTCCCAGTACAGCGTGTGCCAAGATTCTGTCTCCTTTCTGCCCTCCTCTTCCCTTCACCCCCTTGTAACAGCTGTTCCTCCACCCAGATACAAGGTCTCAGGCCAGGATGTGCAGCACATAGCACGTTTCATCTCATTTCAACACCAACGGTGCTGTTGCAAATTACGCAGCTAGTCTGGGAGGGAAGCGGCCCTTCGCCTCTGCCTTCAAGGAGGGAAATGAGACCTGTACATAAATTAATGAATCATTAGAAGTCCTATAAGTCTTCTAAAAGAGGGACATGTACGTGTAGTGGGAGTTCCTGGCAAGGCTTCAGGATGGGCTTTGTAGAAGAGGTAGCATCCTGAAAGGAGCCCCCTGAAGAGATCCCACTGCCCCGAGAGCCACAGTGTTGGCTCCCGTCCATATTAGTTCCTAACAGCCTCCTGGCTCACACGCTTCCTGAATCCCAGTCAAGCTAATCATTCCCTCATCTTCCGAGGCCCCAGCCCTCCCCCTCTAGACCTGGCCCTGTCCCACCTCTGAATGCCCTTGGTCTTCTCTGGCCTCAGTGTTAAGTGTTGAATGTCAATTGACACAGGTTAAATCCTGCCCTTGGCCAGCCACCTCGAAGCCCGCCCTCTGGGAGCCCACCTGTGCAGCCCTCTGTGCTGAGCATTGCTGGGAAAGAGAGAACAATAACACCATTTACTATTCCAAACCCTACAGGGCTTCTGTTTGTTTTGATACAATTGAATTTTCTTTAAAAAAAAAAAATGGGGGTGGGGGGGCTAAATATCATGCCCTTAATTCTGCAGAATTTGGAAGTATCAAGCAGCTTTTTTCTAGAATTTACAGTGAAACGAAGAAAAAGCCCAATGGATTATTCTAAAAGCAGTGGTGCTCAGAATCTAATGCGCTGAAAAGAGCCCTTGATCCTGACGTTACTATAATACTGAATTCTGCTCATGACTGAGAAATGGAGGCCCAGCCTTTTCCCTGCAGTGAATGAGCAAGTAAGACAAGAGCTTGGACCTTTCTGGAAAAAGAGGGGCAGTATCAGGCACCCGCATCCGCACCCCCTTTCTGTCTCTTGACTCCGATGTATTTAATTAAAATTTTGGGGTTTTTTAAACCACAGTTTGGTATGAGGAGTAGTTTTTAAATTTTTTTTCTTTTTAAGTGGGCTCTGTGCCCAACATGGGGCCTGAACTCAGGACCCTGAGATCAAGAGTCACATGCTCTACCAAGTGAGCTAGGCAGGTGCCCCAGTAGTTTGGAAATTTAAGCAAAGTTTCTTTGAGATAATTGGGATCTTTGAAGAGGGAAAGTATGAGAAGGTAAAAAACAGTGCCTCTGCCCATTCACCCCAAGCTAGAGCAACCCATAAGTCTCCTTCCTTCCTTCTTTCAGTTTACATCTGAGCCTTATTATATATCACAGGCATTGTGCTTTGTTCTCAGAATGTAGTGATAACCAAGTCCCTCTCTTCAACAGCACAACTTAGCAGTTAATTGCTATGTACCAGACACTATGCCAAGAGCTTTGTGTGCATTATGTCACTTAATCTCTGTAACAATCTTAAAGGTGACCTGAGATCATCCCCATTTTGCATCTAAGGAAGTTGAGGCCTAGAGAGGTCAGATAACTGCCCACAGCAACACAACTAGCAAGTGACAGAGACAGATGCCATGTGAGCCCATCCTATTCCAAAGACTTTCTATCTTTCTTTTCTTAGAGAGAGAGAATGTACACAAGCCAGGGGCAAGGGGGCAGGATAGGGAGAGAGAGAATCTCAAGCAGGCTCCATGCTTTGCGCAGAGCCTGACGTGGGGCTCGATCTCACGACCCTGAGATCATGACCTGAGCCGAAATCAAGTTGAACGCTCAATGAACTGAGCCACCCAGGCGCCCTCCAAAGACTTTCTTTAAGCCTACCACCAATTGTCCTAAGGTTCTTGCTTAAAAAAAGAATGAAAATTCCAGTTTATAAGGGTATTTGGAGTAGAGAATTTTTTATAACCTGTTGGGCATTGTTTCTGTGCATGATCTAACAGAAGCTCAAACGCCTTATTATATGGAAATTTCTTTCAACAAATACAATACAGATGCCAAGATCTGATGCCCTCAACTAGGAAAAGTAATTATAGGTTCTAATTGACCATATAAACTTTGAAAGAGAAAAATATGGGACAAGATTCTCAACCCTTAAATCTGATTTAATTTTCTGACCTTCAAATTCTGTTTTTTCAAAGAATATTTGTTACAGTAAACTCTTAAAAATAAGGATACCAAACCATATGCTTATTTTTATTCATAGCTTTTCAATTTTTTTTCAAATGAATATATATTTTTTTTTAATATTTTCTGCTTCTTGCTACCAAGGACAGAGCCTACTATTTCAAAAGGGAAATCAAATTGCCAGGCTGCTGCCTCTCTATTTTCCCAAGGCATATCTGGTCCTCCCCAACTCCCTCCCCCCGACCAGACTCTTCCCAAGACTTGAAGGCTTTCCTTCTGTTGATATTTCTCACATTCAGTGTTCACTCACCTTAGCTGGTGGTGGGGTAACAATCCCCTCAACAAGTGCCCCCTCAGCACTATCAGCAGGCAGGGTACTCTCCAGATAAGTTACAAGGCAGATACACCTGGAGTCCTCTTAATGCTCGGTTAATAGTGTATAATACACACCCCTGGAAATCTCTTCCAAAATGTATGTGTATTATTTCAATGCTTGCCTCTAGCAGGGAAGGGAAATTCTCACACTCATTTCATAAAACGAACTAATGATAAAATACAGTATTTAGAGTTCTGGATGTTTATGTGTTTGTCACTAAATAGGCAAAGTTCAGCTTTGTAAATGTTTGTTTTAAGCTTAAAATGTCTGTAGGTTTGGCCCTCTGACAAGCAGAGGGTCAAGAGTAAATGCCACTGATTAGGGATAATTAAGAAAAAATTATGCCAAAAGGCAGCTCCAACCGACTTCATCTTAAGCTCCCCCTACCAGGTATATGTAGACATAAATGAACATAGGAAATGGCCTGAACAGAAGGAAATATCCAGAGAATGCCCTGAGCATGACCCAGAATCAGGACCTGAGAAAGACTTCAAGATGGCCAAGTAGCTTTAGACAGAGTCAGTTGTGACAAGGTGGAGCCAAAACATACCCCTTGAACATCACGATGGAGGTAAGGAAGAGTATGTCTGGGGTATAGGAGATCCCTTAAGGGTGTCTCTTAGTATTACCATGCCCTGTCATTAAAGTCAGTGGAAAATTACAACAATCAAATTCAGGCAAGATTACTAATGACCTTGATCCTCCATGAATGATGGTTCGGGGCATCCTACCAGGTAAAGAAATACATCAGCCAAGGACAAAGGGAATATGGAATGAAAGTAGGAAAAGGTAATTATAAATATCAGCTACAACCGCTTTCCCAGTTACAGAAAACAAGGACTGTAATTGTCATGAGGATTTCTTCCTTATTTTGTGGTGTGTGTGTGTGTGTGTGTGTGTGTTTAATATCTTTGTTTTCTCTCCTCTATTATCCCCTTATGTAACATAAGATGTTCTGACTTTATATCATAGTATTGTTAACTTTACAGCATAGTATTTCAGTTATGGGATATCAAGGAGAAGAATAAACATCACCCAAGGACTTTGCATCCTCTTCTAGGGAAAGGGTTAGTGCATTTTCAATTATATACAAAATAGTCATATCAAGTTAGGTGGAATTATTACCTTATTATTGTCTTTATTTGGAGAGTAAGTGCGGTTTAAGGAGATATGTATGGATGCCATGTTGACATGGAATGGCTGTTGATGTTGAATCTTGTATGTCAACTTGGCTAGTCCACAGTGCCCATGTATTTGGTCAAACATTATTCTGAATGTTTTTGTGAATATGTTGTTAGGTGAAATTAATATTTAAATCAGTGGACTTTGAGTAAAGCAGATTATCCTTCATAGCGTGGATGGCCTCATCCAACCAAATGAAGGCCTTAATAGGAAGACTGACCTCTTCGGGAGAGGGAATTCTGCTGGCAGGCCACCTTTGGACTCTTCTCTGGAGCTCTTCCCTGGGTCTCTACCCTGCTGGCCTATGCTGATGATTTTGAACTTGCCAAGCCTCTATAATCATGTAAGCCAATTCCTTAAAATCTTTCTCTCTTTCCCTCTCTCTCCCCCAAACCCTTGCTCTTCCCACCCCTCTCTTCATTTATATACATCCTGTTGATTCTGTTCCTCAGCAGAACCCTAACCTTAATACACCCACTCAGAGTGGTCTGCTTCCCTAATTGGACCCTGAGACAACATTGAAATAGATCCCTCTACTCTGGAATCGGTCCCTCTTTCTGTCTGGGAGGCCAGGACCCCAAAGGCGCAGGGAGGGCCGTTACTGCAAAGGCAGAACTGGCAGTGTGCAGGGAAGTGAGATGTTGGCTGGCATTCAGGTCACAGGTCAGAGGCAGGAGGGTTGCTCTTCAGGCCAAGCTAGGCTGTGGCAAGCCTTGCTTTTCACCCTCTTCTTCTCCCCAGGTCCCTGCCGTCACTGCCCTTCAGGGGCTCACAGCCCAAGGAGAGGGACTGTGGCACTCCAGGGCAGCTTGGGCTCGATGATGTAACAGGCAAAACCATGGGCTCCAGGAGGATGGAAGAGGAAGCTGTTCCTCCAGATTGGGGCCAAGCAGCAGGCTTCACAGAGGAGGCGACTGCCTTGGATTGCAGATTCAAAGATCGATAGAATATTTTTCCTCCAAATTTTTATCTTGAAAAAGTTTAAACTTACAGAAAAGATGAAGAGTATAATGAACACCCATACAGCCATAATCTAAAGTCCCAATTGTTAACAGTTGGTCATGTTTGCCTTCCCTAAACACACATACATACACTTACACTTAGACACTTTGCTGAGTCATTTGAAAGTCTGTTGCAGATAGACATTACGACACACCACTCCCAGATATTTCAGAATCTATTTCAAAGGAACAAGGCAATAAGGCAATTCTCCTATACAACCATGATACTATATTGTCACATTCAAGAAATTTAACACTGTTAACAGTAGTAGGATCCGGTTCATCTATACTCAAATTTTTTTCAGTGGTCCCAATAATGTCCTTTTGTAGTTTTGTAGTTTTCTTTTCTTTCGGTCAAGATTCCAACTGAGGATAATGACTTGTGTTTACTTATCATGTCTCTTTAGTTTCTCTTAATCTAGAACAGTCCCCTGCCTTTTCTTTTTGGGGACAGGGTCTTTCATGATATTGACAGTTTGATGAATCCAGATTAGTTGTGGGCCAAACCAGTGGCCAGACTGGAAGGAAGAGCTGATAGAAATGAAGAGAGTCTAAAGAGATGAGGCTGAGGAGTAGCTGGGCTCAGGTGGGGTTGGGGTGGGGAGCTGGGGAGTTTGAATTCCATGGTGTTTGCAGTGTCCCCTTGACTCCTGGCAGATTCAGTGGGTGATAATAGGTGTGTTCTCAAGGTTATACAACCACCAGCAACCTGTCCTTTTTTAGGGGATCCTGGCCAGCCGGGGTATCTCTGGGTTATTCTAGCACAATGTTTCCTCATAGTGGAAAACTACTTCAGGCAGACCAAGAGTTTCTGGAACCTCTCCTTACTTCTTCATCCCTCCCATTTCACCAGGTTCTGCAGCCGGCCTCCAGTGCAACTGCCCAGTATTCTCATTCCTCTCTCCCATCACTGGCTCGGGTATGGGGAGGCAGAGGATGGAAACACAAGTTGGCATCCTAGTGGGTCAATGAGAGTGGAGTCAAAGAGCATGGGACATGAAGAGAAGCACAAAGGGCAACGGGGTAAGCTGGACGCAAAAGACCACCAGACTGAGCAGCCCAGTCTTCCAGTCCCGAGCGAGCTGGAAGCAAAGGCAGAACTGGCAGTGTGCAGGGAAGTGAGATGTTTGCTGGCATTCAGGGCACAGCAGGTCATCCTTAGAGGTGTTTCCTCAAATGGCTGCTCATTTTCTTGCATGATGTGAGGCTGCGGCAGCCACAAGAGAGAAGGATGAGAGCCATGCTTGCAGGGAGAGTGTTCTGATAAGTAGAAGCTGGTTCAAGGGATGGGTCCCACTCACGCACACAGTAGTAATAGAACTTCACCCATGGTTGAAGGACTTGCAGCAGGAAGTCAGAGGCCTAGTGTCATGCCCCTAAGGAGTGCCAAAGAGACACACTACACCCAGACACTCAATGGCAAGGCTGGAAAGCAAGAAAAGGAAATGAAGTATAAATAAAAGGAGTCAAAACTGCTCTTACTGCAGGCCCTATAATTACTAATCCAGACTATTCAGGATAGTTAACATCATAGCTATTAGAATAATCATGGAGTTTGGGGACACCTGGGTGGCTCAGTCAGTTGGGCGTCTGCCTTTGGCTCAGGTCATGATCCTGGAGTCCTGGGATCGAGTCCTGCATTGGGCTCCTTGCTCAGCAGGGAGCCTGCTTCTCCCTCTCCCTGCTGCTCCCCCTGCTTGTGCTCTTGCTCTCTCTCTGACAAACAAATAAATAAAATCTTAAAAAAAAAAAAAAAAGAATAGGGGCGCCTGGGTGGCTCAGTCATTAAGTGTCTGCCTTCGGCTCAGGTCATGGTCTCAGGGTCCTGGGATCGAGCCCCGCATTGGGCTCCCTGCTCAGCAGGAAGCCTGCTTCTCCCTCTCCTACTCCCCCTGCTTGTGTTCCCTCTCTCGCTGTTTCTCTCTGTCAAATAAATAAATAAAATCTAAAAAAAAGAGAGAGAATATACTGCTTCTTTTATTCCTTAATAAACTTTTTATTTTGAATAATTTTAGATGTACAGAAAAAATCCCATATACTCTTCACCTGATTTCCCCTAATGTGAACATTTTATATAAACATAATATATTTGTCAAAACTGAGAAACTAATATTGACACATCACTATTAACTGAACTCCAGGCTTTATTTGGATTTCACTAGTTTTTTTCACTAATGTCCTTTTTCCATCCTGGGATCTAATCTAAAATACCACATCACATTTAGATGTCATGTCTCCTACTTTCTTTTAATTTATGATAGCTTCTCAGTCTTGCTTTGATTTTTTCAGGATCTTGATAGTTTGAAAGAGTGCGTCAGGTATTCTGTCGACTACTTCTCAATTGTTTGATGTTTTTCTCATGGTTACCGGGATTTGGTCTTGGGGGGAGAATACCACAGAGTTGAAGTGCCTTCCTCATCATATCATATCAAGGATATATATTATCAACATAACACAGATGACATTAACCTTGACACTTGGCTAAGGAAATGTCTGCCAGATTCCTACCCAGTAAAGTTCCTATTTTTCCATTTCCATATTCATTCTTTGGAGATAAGTCACTAAGTCTAGCTCATGCTCAAGGGGAGGAAATGAAGCTCCTAATCCTGGTGTATTAATTTTAAATTAAGAAGATGTCTGAGAGCAGTGGTGCTGCCCTATGCACTTTTTAAAATTGCCCAATATTCATTGATTTATTCTATAAATATTTATTGAGCCCCTACTATGTGGAATGCTAGCCCCTGATGTAGTCACTGGATACAGCAAATTCCTACCCTTATGGAACATACCTTCTAGACTAATACTGATGTACAGTAGGTTAAAAAACAAACAACAGATGAAAGCCTCCAGGATCCAAGGAACTAAGATATGGAACCAAAAGTGGAGGTGGAGCATGGGCAAGGCACGGTCCCCAAAGGAGGAAGGGGAAGTAGGAGAAAGGGAGAGAGAGAAGCAACCCTAGAGATGTGGTCAATGCACACGGCGGCACACTGCAGTACATGGGGATGCTTATCATATGCTGGAACAGGCAAGCTGGACTTAGTTGAAGGGGCTAAGCCAATTGGAAGGAATATGAGGGGATATTATAAGCAGTTCTGGACACATAAAAGGCACTCTATAGATATTTATTAAATAAATAAATGAAGGAATAACAACATTAAGTAGGCACATTCACCCTTGCTTGCTTCAGCATTAAAACCTCCAGTAAGACTTTCCAAGGTAATCAAAGGGAGAACCCCAACACTCTGGAGTGCAGCTGCTGCCCACAGCCCCGGCTCCTGCCTCCAGGGTTCCCTTCGTAGGTATGCCCAAGGCTACTCCCCTTTCCCTTTCCACCCAGGCAGGAGTACAGACTTTTCCCCTAATTCCACTGGGGGCCAAGAGGGCAGAGTTGTCCTGAAACCGGTTCCAATATTTACACAGTCTTAGCCAGAGGCAGAGAACAAAGTGAAAGGAACTTCTCTCATGAGATATCAGGCAACCTGATTCCTGTGATAGCAATGGAGTCACCCAGGAACCCTGTGATAACAGTGTGGGACAGCCACTCACATCTGTGTCCATATTTACTTCATCTTCTGAGTTCTCTCTAGTGTTTGTTTCCTAAGGTTTGGCGGAACAAAACACAAGCGTTTTGCTTTTATTTACCACTTCACCTTTGTCCTGAGGGGAGAGTGCCAAAGGGAAGTCCTGAAAAATGGCGGTGCCCACTCCTGTTCTGGTTTTCCGTGTTCTTAAAGTGCTCTGAGAGACAGGATTTTTAAGAGCAGCCTGCATCAAAATGACAAAGCTAGAAAGAACTCTTTTTCTAGAGTCTAATTATAAATTAGCAGTTCAGCGTTCTGAATACTTCTCAAGAATCAAAAAACCAGCATCCAGTTTCTGCCACTATCTTGCCTTGTGACCTTAAAACCTCTCCTCCCTGGGAACAAGACAAGGATGTTCACCTCACCACTTTTATTCAACATAGTACTGGAAGTCCTAGCCACAGCAATCAGATAAGAAAAAGGAATAAAAGGCATTCAAATTGGGAAGAAGGAAGTAAAACTTTCACTGCGTACAGATGATATAATGCTATATACAGAAAATCCTAAAGACTACACACACACACACACACACAAACTACTAGAACTGATAAATGAATTCAGTAAGGTTGTGACATACAAAATCAATGTACAGAAATCCATTGCATTTCTATACACTAATAAGGAAGCAACAGAAAGAAATTAATAAAGTGATCCCATTTACAATTACACCAAAAATAATAAAATACCTAGGAATAACTTAACCAAGGACGCAAAAGACCAGTACTCTGAAAACTATAAAACACTGATTAAAGAAATCAAAGACAACACAAACCAATGGAAAGATATTCCAAGCTCATGGATTGGAAGAACAAATACTGTTAAAATGTCCATACTACCCAAAGCAATCTACAGATTTAATGCAATCCCTAGCAAAATATCAACAGCATTTTTCACAGAACTAGAACAAATAATCCTAGAATTTGTATGGAACCACAAAAGACCCCAAACAGACAAAGCAATCTTGAAAAAAAACAAAAACGAAACTAGAAGTATAACAATCCCAGATTTTAAGTTATATTACAAAGCTGTAGTAATCAAAACAGTATGATACAGGAAAAAAAAATAGACACATAGATCAATGGAACAGGAGAGAAAGCCCAGATACAAACCCATAATTATATGGTTAATTGATCTTTGACAAAAGAGGCAAGAATATGCAGTAGGAAAAAGACGGTCTCTTCAACAAATGGTGTTAGGAAAACTGGACAGCTACATGCAAAGGAATGAAACTGGACCACTTTCTTACACCATACATATCATACACCATACACAAAAATAAACTCAAAATGGATTAAAGGGGCGCCTGGGTGGCTCAGTCAGTTAAGCGTCCGACTCTTGATTTTGGCTCAGGTCATGATCTCAGGGTCTTGAGATGGAGGCCCGTGTTTGGCTCCATGCTTAGCATGGAGTCTGCTTATTCCTCTGGCTCTGCTCCTCCCCCTGCTCGCACTCTCCTTCTTTCCCTCTTTTTCTCTCTTTCTCAAATAAATAAATAAAATCTTTTTTTTAAATGGATTAAAGACCTAAATGTGAGACCTGAAACCATAAAAATCCTAGAAGAGAGCATAGGCAGTAATTTCTCTGATATCGGCTGTAGCAACATTTTTTCTAGATATGTCTCCTGAGGCAAAGGAAATAAAAGCAAAAATAAACTATTAGGACTACAACAACCTAAAAATCTTCTGCACAGCAAAGGAAACAATTAAAAAAAAAAACAACTAAAAGGCAACCTACAGAATGGGAGAAGATATTTGCAAATGACATATCCAATAGTTAGTATCCAAAATACATAAAGAACAGATACAACTCAACACCCAAAAACCAAATAATCCAATTAATAAATGGGCAGAAGACATGAACAGACATTTCTCCAAAGAAGACATCCAGATGGCCAACAGACACATGAAAAGATGCTCATCATCACTCATCATCAGGGATATGCAAATCAAAACCACAGTGAGATATTACCTCACACCTGTCAGAATGGCTAAAAACAAAGTCAAGAAACAACAAGTGTTGGTGAGGATGTGGAGAAAAATGAACCCTCGTGCACCATTGGTGGGAATGCGAACTGGTGCAGCCACTCTAGAAAAGTTTGGAGTTTCCTCAAAAGGTTAAAAGTAGAATTACCCTACTATCCAGTAATTGTATCATTGGGTATTTACCCCCCCACACACAAAAAAAAACACTAATTGAGAGAGCTATGTGCACCTCTATGTTTATTGCAGCATTATTTACAATAGCCAAATTATGGAAGCAGCCCAAGTGTTCATCAGTAGATGAATGGATAAAGAAGATGTGGTATATATATATATATATGAATGAAATATTCTCAGCCATAAAAACAATGAAATCTTGCCATTTGCAATGAGATGGATGGACTTAGAGGGTATAATGCTAAGTAAAATAAGTCAGAGAAAGACAAATACCATATGATTTCACTCATATGTGGAATTTAAGAAACAAAACAAATGAACAAAGGAAAGAGAGAGAGAGAAAACAAGAAACAGACTCTTTACAGAGAGCGAACTGATGGTTACCAGAGGGGAAGTGGGTGGGGGATGGGTAAAACAGGTGATAGGGGTTAAAGAGTACACTTATCATGATGAGCACTGAGTAATGTATAGAATTGTTGAATCACTCTATTGTACACCTGAAACTAATATAACACTGTATGTTAACTATACTGGAATTAAAATTTAAAACTTAAAAAAAAAACCTTGCCTGGGGCACCTGGGTGGCTCAGTCGGTTGGTTAAGCTCCTGCCTTCAGCTCACGCACGTCATGATCCCACGGGCAGCCTGCTCAACAGGGAGTCTGCTTCTCCCTCTCCCTCTGATCCTCCCCCCTGTATGTGTGCTATGTCTCTCTGTCTCTCTCAAACGAACAACAACAAAAACCCCAAAAAAACTCCCCTGTCTGAACATCCATCTCTGTGTACATAGAATGACAAGGCAGGCTTGGGTAATACTGAGGATTGCTTAGAGTCCTGATGTTCCATTATTTTTATCCAGTATGATGCCTTCCTGACTCCTCCATGAACTTCACTGCCTTTGTGATCCAAGGCATACAAGCAGAAGACATGGTGGAGAGCCAGAAAAGAGCCCAGCACCCCTCACCAACATAGGTACCAGCACTTGTGAGAAACTGCAATGAACCAAACTGCCTAGAGGCGGAGCTCTCCATTTAGTTGAGAAAGAATTAGGCTGTATGTTGAGTTAATGGTCTAATTAAATATTATCATTCAGCAGTGTATCACTGACCGTGTTAGGTAAATAATACTCTTTCAAATATCAATAGCCTTTGCCAGTGATGAGTGACTCACATGTGTACAATCATAATTGCCTTGCTTCTCATCTAGGA